ACCAACGACATATGCCACCAACACTTTATGTAGGCGGTTACTTATTGTTTCCTAGTTCCTTAGTAATTTTGTCTATATTTATTTGCTAAATGCAGATTTAGTAATTTAAAATAAATATCTAAGTGGAAATTAAGTAGAACGATTATTAATGTACAATGTTAGTACACAATTACAATTTCATAGTCATCATATTTCAAATAATTTTTATCTTGGAAATTTCAACATTATTATTTTCAGTTATTATGTTTCACGCGTTGGAAGTTGGAAGTAATGAGCGATGGGATAAAATTGATTATTAGAGTTGATTTTCCTGTGAATTTGCAACATTTGTTTATATAAAATTGTTTTTCCAACTTATTTAATTTTTCATTTATTCAACAACATAATTGAGAAAACGTTAATAACGGATGATGGGTTAAAATTGTTAACGTACGTTGTTTCTTATGTTATAATAGAAGATTTTCTTTGTAACAAGTTTTTTTCTTTCTCCATTAATTTTTGAGTTATAATTATGGCTTTTCTATCTTTTCATTTTTGACTTATTACAAACCATGCTTGCGAGAACGTCAAATTTGGAGATTTCAACTTCTACGTTCTGCAATTTCTTAACAAGGAATGATGGGTTAACATTGTTAAGGTAAGATGTTTCCTTGGTTAAAATGGAACATTTTCTTTGTAAGAAGTTTTTTTCCAACTCCATTAATTTTTGAGTTATAGCTTACTTTCTTAAAGAAAATGTCAAATCGAGGAATTCTTAGAAATGTTTCTCTTCTTAATTTATAACGTTTTTTATATAAAATAGTTCTTCCAACTTTTTTAATTTTTGATTTATTCCAAAGCATAATTGCGAAAACGTCAAATTTTCAGATTTCAACTTTTACGTCCTGTAAATTCAAAACAATGAATGATGGGTTGAAATTGTTAACATAAGATGTTTCTTGGGTTGAAATAGAACATTTTCTTTGTAACAAGTTTTTTTCCATCTCCATTAATTTTTGAGTTACATAAGCAACTTTCTTACTGAAAACGTCAAATTGATTCAATTATTGTTTTGTGCGTTGGTACCAATGAATGATGGGATACAATTGAAAATTAGAGATGTTTTTCTTGTTAATTAGTAACGTTTTTTATACAAAATGGTTTCTCCATCTTTTTTAATTTTTGGTTTATTCCAAAGCATGATTGCGAAAACGTCAAATTTTGGGATTTCAACTATTACGTCCTGTAACTTCATAACAACGAATGATGGGTTAAAATTGTTAACATAAGATGTTTCCTTGGTTAAAATAGAACATTTTCCTTATAATAAGTCTTTTTCCATCTCCATTAATTTTTGACTTATAAACAATTTTATTCCTGAAAACGTCAAATTGATAATTTTCAATTATTGTTTTGTGCGTTGGTACCAATGAATGATAGGATACAATTGAAAATTAGAGATGTTTTTCTTGTTAAGTAGTAAAGTTTTTTATACAAAATGGTTTCTCCATCTTTTTTAATTTTTGATTTATTCCAAAGCATAATTACGAAAACGTCAAATTTTGGGATTTCAACTTTTACGTCCTGTAAATTCAAAACAATGAATGATGGGGTGAAATTGTTAACATAAGATGTTTCTTGGGTTGAAATAGAACATTTTCTTTGTAACAAGTTTTTTTCCATCTCCATTAATTTTTGAGTTATAAGCAACTTTATTCCTGAAAATGTTAAATTGATAATTTTCAATTATTGTTTTGTGCGTTGGTACCAATGAATGATGGGATACAATTGAAAATTAGAGATGTTTTTCTTGTTAATTAGTAACGTTTTTTATACAAAATGATTTCTCCATTTTTTTTAATTTTTGATTTATTCCAAAGCATGATTGCGAAAATGTCAAATTTTGGGATTTCCACTTTTACGTCTTGTAACTTCATAACAACGAATGATGGGTTAAAATTGTTAACATAAGATGTTTTCTTGGTTCAAATAGAACATTTTCTTTATAATAAGTCTTTTTCCATCTCCATTAATTTTTGACTTATAAACAACTTGATTCCTGAAAACGTCAAATTGATAATTTTCAATTATTGTTTTGTGCGTTGGTACCAATGAATGATAGGATACAATTGAAAATTAGAGATCTTTTTCTTGTTAACTAGTAAAGTTTTTTTATACAAAATGGTTTCTCCATCTTTTTTAATTTTTGATTTATTCCAAAGCATGATTGCGAAAACATCAAATTTTGAAATTTCAACTTTTATGTCCTGCAAATTCATAACAACGAATGATGGGTTAAAATTGTTGACGTAAGATGTTTCCTTGGTTAAAATGCAACATTTTCTTTGCAACAAATTTTTTTCCATCTTCATTAATTTTTGAGTTATAGCCTACTTTCTTACAGAAAATGTCAAATTGATGAGTTTCAATTATTGTTTCGCACGTTGGTAACAATGAGTAATTGATTCTGAGAAATGTTGTCCTTCTTAATTTACGTTTTTTTTATATAAAATGGTTTTTCCATTCTTTTTCATTTTTTATTTATTCCAGAACATAACTGCGAAAACGTCAAATTTTGAAATTTCAACTTTTACGTCCTGCAAATTCATAACAACGAATGATGGGTTAAAATTGTTAACGTAAGATGTTTCCTTGGTTCAAATAGATCATTTTCTTTGTAACAAGTCCTTTTCCATCTCCATTAATTTTTGAGTTATAACTTATAAGCAACTTTATTCCTGAAAATGTCAAATTGATGAGTTTCAATTATTGTTTTGCGCGTTGGTAGCAATGAGTGATGAGATAAAATTGATTATCAGAAACGTTTTCTTGTTCATTTGCAAAGTTTTTTTTATATAAAATTGCCTTTTCATCTTTGTTAATTTTTGATTTATTCCAAAGCATAATTGCGAAAACGTCAAATTTTGAAATTTCAACTTTTACGTCCTGCAAATTCATAATAACGAATGATGGGTTAAAATTGTTAACGTAAGATGTTTCCTTGGTTAGAATGCAACATTTTCTTTGCAACAAATTTTTATCCATCTCCATTAATTTTTGAGTTATAAGCATGTCACTTACTGAAAATGTCAAGTTTATGTTTTTCAATTATTATGTTTCGCGCGTTGGTAGCAATGAGTGATGGGATACAATTGAAAATTAGAGATGTTTTTCGTGTTAATTTACAAAGTTTCTTATATAAAATGTTTTTTCCATCTTTTTAAATTTTTGATTTATTCCAGAACATAACTCCGAAAACGTCAAACTTTGGAATTTCAACTTTAACGTCCTGTAAATTCATAACAATGAATGATTATGGTTGAAATTGTTAACATAAGATGTTTCTTAGGTTGAAGGTTTATGTGTGACGCTTTTTTGTATAAAACTATTCCCACAATTTTTGTAATTTTTGATTTATTCCAGAATATAGTTGCCAAAACGACAATTTCTACATCTTGTAAATTGATAACAATGAATGATGGGTCAAAATTATTAACGCAAGATGTTTTTTGGGCTAAAATAGTACATCTTCTTTGTAAAAAGTTTTTTTCTATCTCCATTAATTTTCGAGTTATAACCCAATTTCTTACTGAAAGTATCAAATTTTTGATTTGCAGTTTGCATTTTGCAAGTTGGTAATAATGAGCTGAGGATGTTTCTGTTGTTAATTTGCAATATTCCTTCATATCAATTTTATTTTCTTATTTATTTTTCAAGTCTGCATGAAAATGGTGGAAGATATAAATGAAATAAAATATAACATAAAAAAATCTTTTTAAAGATCAATATCACTTTGCTTGGAATTAAATAATATTGTTGAAAATGGTACACTTGACGTTGTTGGGGAGGAGATGCGTGGCACTCACTCGTTCAAGTAAAAGGCGTGCGTTCGCGAAGCTTTGCACCCGAGCTCACTAACTAGATCTGGTAAGTAATGCATGAAGACGCGATCGCAAGCCGCCGTGGCATCAATGATGCAAAGAGGTCGCCCCCTTTCGGTCTACGCCGTTGCCGCCGCCGCCACCACTACCGTCTACGAGCCCGTTGACAAACAGTTTTCTAGCCTCCTCACACATATCCCCATATACTCCCCACATGGTGCTCGCCTTCTTTTTATTTATTCCGCTTAATCTTTCCGCGCCTGGCCGTCTTTGAAGTCTCTCCATCAAAGATTACAATTGATGTTTGTCCACTTTGCAAATGAAAGGGTACCACTTTATTTCAAAACATACATTTGCGTTAAATTTAATGTGGTTTGATAAAAAAGAAGCCAGACCTTTCGAAATCCTGTAACTTCTGGCAAACCCGACGGCGTTCACCGCAGATCGACTCAATAAAACTCGGAATTGCTTGTCCGGGATCGAAGGAACTTCGTTTTATTTTTATTGCGACTCCCGGCGAAGTGGGGAGACGACATCGTGTCTAACTGTGTATGTGTATGTGAAGGGTGCACGTGTGTTTTCACTTGTGAGTGCGTGTGTATGTATGTGTGTGAGCGCCCTGTGAAAACGTGTTAGGATCTGTGTGCGGTTTTACGCGCCCTCTCCGATTGGATTCGGTTGGTACAAAGTACCAAGTGACGCATTTCGAGGAACGAATTTACATCCTGCAAATGGCCCACCAGAGAAACGATCTTTTTCTCCTACACCATCGTCGCCTTTTTTATTCTCAAACTTCTTGTGGTTTGATATGACAAGTTATTACTTGATGAAAAATTTGAATTTCATTAAGGATTGGATTGAAAATGATAAAAAATAACTTTTAGTGTGAGTAACATTCAATAAGGAATACAATTAGCAATCTACTTCTGAGTCAATCTCGTTCAATGTTAACTTGTATTTAATGTATTTACTTTAAAAAACATAAACATATCACGACAAATTACACCAACTGATCCAATTCACCAAACTTTTGAATTATTTATAAGTAAATTTGTTTACTAACGAATATTGATGATCCAACTGACATTAACACCAATCAAAAAAAAAAGGAGCTATAATAACATTTAAATGTTAACTTACCGACGGATTTGGCATACACCTCCTCGGCATTGGATCTGGACTTCTATATGTTGGTGAATATCTTCCAGGAAAACAAGCCCCAGATGATGTTATGGGTCCGTGCAGACCCGTCGGGCCTTTAGCACCCATCATCTTATCCGGCGAATACATATTTTCAATCAAGTCCAATAAAATCCCGAACTCTTTCAGCTTTTCTTATTTCAAGTCTTTTTTTTTGATTAGTCCAAACTGAAAAAATCACTCTTTTGGGGGGGTTATCTCTTTCACAAACTACACTCCGACGGTGGTAACATCGTATCTATTATCATCAGTCCATCATTGCCATTTGGATTTCTTTAGGCACCATTCGCACTAACTCTTTGAATATACCTCGTCTTGTGTATTGGGGTAATTTTTTTGCAGTGGTGATGTTGCTGATATGAACCGCAGGGTCGCGGCGCGCCGTTTTCTCTTTGCCCCCGAATGGCAGAGGGTCGAAGTGCGAACTGAGCGAGAGCCTCTTCCATTGGGGCTTTGCGATTTGGGGTTGCGAGGGCGGCGCTTGCGCCTCTAGCGTCGCGACGCCCGCCCTCCGCATTCGTGCGCCTCGAATTAACGCTCCTCGTGCGTCCTCCATCAACTTTACTGGTCATTTCTACAAAGAAAATTTTATTTAAATTTTAGAATAAAATACAATTTAGATTTGTAATATTCATAAAAAATTTAATACCCGTTAATACCTAATTTATTAAATAATAATTTGATTATAATTTATTTTGATATTTTTTAACAGGTAGTCGTGATTTTAACAAATTATATCGGTGTAAAGTGAAGAATAGGGTCGAAAACGATCCGTTGGTAACACGTCCGTCCTATTAACGGCGGTTTTAAACATTCATGGGCCTTTATTCGGTTGTCACCCCTCATGGTTTTTGTTTTGATTAATGCAGCGGGCTCTTTAACGCGTGCCGGGCCGGGTTAAATTTATATTGCTCATTAATAACAGTCGGGTTGCGCGGCGAACGGGTTGACTCGTTCGGGCCGGATGCGGCCCGTTTTGGCGAAAACCGCCACCGCCGGATGGCGCGTTCCACGGAAATTGACGTCAATTAGCTCGAGCTTTATGTACTTTTCGGAATTTTTCTTTTACCGAATATCGTCGCCGCAATAACCACCTATTTGTTTCCATATCCCTACTATATTACTTCGAATCCCGACAATGAAATGAAATCATGTTAAACGTTATTTAATTGTTGAAGTTTTTATAATATGAATAAATTGAAATCAAGGAAAATGAAATGAATTTTTCATAGATATCGGGTTTATACAGGATGATTCAAAAAACCACTGACATGCTTCTAGAGTAGGTAATACATTAAAAAATAAGATGAATAGTCTTGAATATACATGGGCTCGCAAATGTTTACTTAACGAGTTATAGGGCATCAAAGTTTCTTTAAAATTAAACATTATCTGCAATAAAAAACCCTTTTTTGAAAATATTTTGTACACACTAGTAATTTTGTCAAACGGGCAGTATTTTCGTGTAGTGATCTTATCAATTAATTGGTCTCTTACAAAACTATGATTAAAATAACGGTTTCTGAGTAATCTACATTACTCAGCATTAGCTTATGGATGAGCTGATTACTGCGATTGATCAGGGTAACGTTGCTATTCTCACTCTGCTAGACTTTAGTCGTGCATTTGATACTGTGAATTATACCATTCTTTTGTCGATTCTTTCGTCAATTGGTTTTGATTCGACTGCTCTAAACTTAATTAGTGCATATCTGAATGGTAGATCACAGTCGGTTGTTATTGATGGGGTGGCATCCGAGTGTCGTGAGGTTATCTCCGGGGTTCCACAGGGCTCTATTCTGGGACCGATTTTGTTCTCCATTTATACAGCTCATCTTTTTGATCGGATTCAACATGGTACACAGTATGTTTACGCGGATGATACGCAGTTGGTTCACTCCTTTCATCCCTCCCAATGGCGGGAGGCTATTCGTCGCATCAATACTGATCTCCATTGTGTTTATGAGGCATCCACTGCACATTGTCTGAGGATCAATCCTGATAAATCGGCGGTCATGATCTTTGGGAATACAAAATTCACTTCAAAAGTGGCTCGGCCCTTTGGTACTGTCATGAATGGTACGAAATTACCTGTAGTTGATAGTTATAAAAGTCTTGGTTTGGAAATTGATAGTTCTTTTAGATATTCGTCTCAGGTCAGTAAATATGTTAAAAACGCTTATTTCGCCCTCAGGCTACTTTTTCCGCATAGGTCTTACTTACCCATAGATGTCAAGCGGATGTTATGCGATGCTCTTGTTTTGTCTCAATTTAATTACATGGTTCCTGTATACCATCCAGCGTTAACTGCTTTTGATTCAAATAGAATCCAAAAAATTCAAAACTGCTGTTTACGTTTTATTTATGGCATACAAAAATATGATAAGATATCTCATAAGTTAGTTGACGCTGGATGGTTGTCGATGGGGAACAGAAGAGTGCTTCAGACATTGGTGGTTTATCATAAACTAATGTTGAGTAAGACTCCAAGTTATTTATATAGGAAGATTAATTTTAGAAGTAACGTTCATAATCGATTGAGTAGGTTTATTTCCTTTATTTCTCCACCTGTCCATCGCACGGGTTTGTTTGAGAGATCTTTCTCATACCATGTTTACAAATCCTATAATCTTATTTCGATGGCTGATAGGAAGTTAAGTGTATCGACGTTCAGGTCTCGGTTATTTGAAAGATTATTCAGATGTCAGTGTGCTTCTCTGTTGCAAGGGGTCCCGATATCGAGTTGCGTTGCGCATGTCACGGAATCGAGTTTAGTTAATTAGTTTATTATTTACAACTAATTTAATAATTTTTTTTTGTGTTTTGTGTTTGTTACGTCTTCAATTATTAATGTTTAATACCTCTTTTTGTTATCGAGGTCCAGATGGAAGAACAGGATTTTATTTTCCTGAATCTGCGCCTCGTGAATTGCTTGCCGCACTATGCTATAATAGCTCTCTTTTGTTTAGATAGTTTTATTTTGTATCTTTTTTTTTTCTTTCGAATCATTTATTGTTTTTATTTTTGGTTATATTATCTTGCTATATTATATTGTTTTATTTCTGTAATTGCTGTGTGGTTTGGCAATAAAGTCTATTATTATTATTATTATTATTATTTCAACTAATTTTGTCAGAATAAAATAACGTAAACATTGGAAATAATGCAAATCTACCCTCCGAGCTAAAGATCTTCTTATTCTTTCAAAAATCCTGCGCACAGCCAGTGGTACTTCATCTAACAAGGTGTTCAAATCATTCATTAAAAAATTAAGGTAAGACTGGCCATTTAGTCTATTTGGTAGCTCAAAAGGGAGGATTCTCTGCAAGTTTGCCAAGCAGCCTTCGTGACTACTCTAGTCTTGGTGGATAATCTTGCGGTAGTAGGTAAACGTTGAAAGTGATAAGAATGCAATTGTTGCTCGTGAAATTTTCTCCATTCAGATGACTGTGATATGTTTGAATTTTCAGAAATTTGTCGGATACTTAACATATTATTGTTTTCTATTGCTCTAGGATTCCGGAGTTTTAGCATAACGCCGTCGGTCGTCCAGAATTAATTTTGCTTGGTTTTCCTGTTTTAGCCATCTTTTAATAGTATTCCTCTAGTTTTTTATCGTCCATGGTACTCTTCAAATCGTTCTGAATATTCCTCTAAATCGTCCATAGCAAACTCATCTCAGACATCCCTCATTGTCATCACAAACACCTTTCAATACAGTCACGGACAATCTCAATATCAAGACATTCTTCTATTATACATTGATTCGAATATTACATAATGATATTCCTGCTTAAACATCATTACAGACAATACCATTCCAGAGACCTCTCAACATCAACTCTGTTATCTGTTAGTATTAATCTTGTAGTCCCAAATATCTTTCAATATTATCTCTGACAACGCTCAACTTCCATTCGGTCATCCGTCAATATCATTCCTGGAATATCGTTCATTCCTCATTATCACCCCAAACACTCTTTGAATACAATCACGGACAACCTCAATATCAATATTAATGTCGTCTTTGATATTCCTTGATTCGATCGCAAACACATTTTAACATCATCACCATAAACAACATTCTACATTACCGTGACATACCTCAACATCCGATAATATCATCGACTACCACCCTCAACTACATCATCTCCTTTCAAACATTTCTCAATAAAACTTTTGATACACCTCAACATAGTGTTACATATTCCCCAATAATATCACTACCAACTCTAACATCTCTCAATATTATCTATGTCACTTTACAACATGATGTGAAATCCCTCAATATTATTTCTGACAAACTTCAAAATAGTTCCAGACATTCTTCTATGTTGTCCTTTGACGATATCAACATTTTATCACATATCTATCAATATTATCTGTAACATCCCTCAACATCATCCCATGCATCCCTCAATGACACTCCTAGTACGCCTTAACATCATCCCGAACATCTCTTAATATCATCTTTCACATTCCTCGATATTATCCCAGACACATCTCAACATCACCTCGGCCTTTCCTCAATATCATTCATAATACCTCTCAACATTGACCCGCGGACACTTCAACATCATTCATAATATCGTCACTGACATTCCTCAATACTAACCCAAACATTTACTCCCAGACAAGGTGTGATAACAATCACTCCGCTAGATCGTTCCAAACATATCTCAATGTTGCCTCTAATAATCATCAACATCCTTTTTCGCACATCTCAACGTTGACCCAGAGATATTTTCATCCCTGTCACACCTCAACATAGTCCTAAACATCGTTTAATATTGTCTCTAACAACATCATCCCAGATATTATTTTAGGTTGTCTCTGATTCTCCTCACTATCACTTCGTACATCTATTAATTTGAAGCCATGGTTGATACCCTTCAATATCGTCCCTAGCATGTTTCTATATCATAATGGTGTCCTTAGCTAAATATCTTAATATTTTCAACATCGTCCTAGTAACGTTTTAACATCATTCCTGGCACAACTAAACATCGTCCTGGATATTCCTTAATAGTATAAGGATAATAATTATGTTGTCGAACATCTACTAATAGAGCTTCTGGCACTACTCAATCGCTTCTCTGACATCCCTCAACATCATCCTTGACGTTTTTTAACATCTATGTGGCTTCTATCATTATCTTGAGTGGTACTGCTCAACAACGTTCTTAATTTCTTTGAATATTGCATCTAATAACTGTTAAGATCCTTCGCCGTCTCGAAATCGTTCCGAAGATTTTTCAATATCGTCCCTTATTCTTCAGTTTTTGTCATCACCGTTCTTAGTACAAGTTAGTATTAAGCCTGACATCGTTGAATATCGCCTTTGTCTTCTTTGATAATCGTCCATCCCATTCCTCGATATGTTTTGTCCCCTTCAA